CCCGTACCCGTATCCGTACCTATCAATTTTTTTATTTTTTGTAAAAAAAATGATATTTTTAAATTATTTTTTTTTATTATATTATAATTATAATTTGGTTATTTCTCTATTTCATATTATAATAAATAATCACACATTTAGGCGGAACTCCGCCAGAGTAACCGGCGGGGTGGCCTTGCCGCCGAGGCACTCTACAGTGGAGGAGCCGCAGTCTGCGGTGGCGCAGGAGAATTTTCCAGCGGAGTCCTCGGAGCACTGTTGTCAAAGTTGGGTTTAAGATATGAGTCTTCTTTAAGTTTTTAGAAATTAATGGTGGAACTTAAATGGCAACGGTGGAGCAGATTTGTACGAGGTGAGCCTGGTGGATGGTTTCAACCTCCCCATGAAGGTGAAACCGCGAGGCGGAACAACAGGAACCGGGAGCTGCAAGGCCACCGGCTGCGTCATGGACTTGAACGTAGCGTGTCCGACGGAGCTCAAGGTGACGAGAGACGGAGAGAGCGTCGCCTGCAACAGCAAATGCAAGACTCGGGCTCTACCATGCTTGAGTTCAGAGTTTTTCAAGAGTGCATGCCCTAACGATCGTGCCTCCTTCACTTGTGTTTCTGCTGATTATATCATCACTTTCTGCCCCAGGTCCTCCAAGAGGTAACTTGATAAGAAATTTTCTTTAAGTTTTGAATACAATGTAAGCCTTAGAAATTAATGGTGGAACACTGTTGTCAAAGTTGGGTTTAAGATATGCAAGATTTTCATGTGGGGTTTAGAGTTTCATCAAGACTCATGGTGGTCTAGTTCTAGAGTTGGCATGATTTGTTGATAATTAAAATAATTTCATGCAGAAGGGTGAAGGCGGGGAATGATAAAAGTCCGGCGGCCGTGGGCAACAACAACATGATAGCCGTGGTGGCAGCAAGTGTTGCCTTACTCTTTGGCGTGATGGTATTCAGAATAACAATCTTTTTATCAGGAAGAGGTTGGAGCATTCGGGTGGTCGCCGGAACTAGAGTTCAAACAATTGACCCCAACAACCCTCAACCTGAACCACTCGCTACTTAAGTGATAAATAAAAGAGAGAGAGACCTGGGCATTCTAGTGAATGTTATGTAAATTATTATGTTGTGTGAAATATAGTACTAGTTCATATTTGGAGAATAAATGTACATTGTCTATAGGAGGAAAGTGAATAAATACTATGTCTTGTTTGTTATCATATAAATCTTGCTATTTCCCCATTCATATATATATATATATATATATATATTGTGGACTCGTTTTGCTGTTGTACTTCCTTAAGTAGAATTGTACGTTGAATGCTGATAATTAAGTGATAAATAAGAGAGAGAGTGTAGTGATTCTGGTGAATGTTATGTATATTATTATGTTGTGTGAAATATAGTACTAGTTCATATTTGTGTCGTGCTTGAACTAGTGGAAAAGGTTTGTTGCCTGACACTCTGACAAGATCTTTCTCAGACCACCAATAGTTCAGTACGTTCTGCAACTCTTGCAAAACTTACTTTCTAATTATTCTAGCCTCCTATAAATCCACTTGCGATTAATTAATAATAATAAAAATAAAAATAAAAACGATCAAGACGAAAATGTCATCTAGGAGGAGTGAACTACGTATAGAGTAAGAACAATCCACGCATGGAACGAACTCGTGGATAAATATCATTTTTTAAAATAAACATTGATTAAAAAACATATTTAAGATTTAGTTTGCCGCATATATAGATGCATGCATACCATTGCACCCATATGGCAAGATCAATTTTACAAGATTCAATTCTTATTATAAATTCACAAACGAGTAATGATTTTTTAACACTCTTTTCTCTTAACACCTGTTTATTAATTTTTAACACTATACCGGTATTTCTTTTTAAGTGTCACTATTTTTGAAAAATAAATCCTATTATATAACATTTACAAAGTTAGAAATAACTCTTTTTTCGATTATATCCTTATTTTTTTTAATATTTAAAGAGAATTAGAAAGCAAATAATATGTATACTATTGTGTAATAAAAATCAAACAAAAAGGTAAAATAAAAATTTTCAAAATTATTTTATGGAAAAATTGATTTTTTTTGTATTACATAATTTATAAATAAAAAACATTAAACAAGATAAAGATAAAATAGCATTTTTAGTGTCCGAAAATCATTTTTGTTCATAATCTACGGGAATATGAAGTAATATTTACTGTTTTTATTTTCTTAATATTTATTGTTTGACGGACATCTCTTCAATTCAAACACTTTGTTAATATTTATTATACTTTCAAAAAAATTTTTACCATATTATATTATTCATTCACTTTTTCTACAATCTTTTTCTAACAATATGTGTTAAATAACTACTCAGTGTTTATCAATCATTTTTTGTTGCATATAATCGTGCACTTCATATGAGGATAGTTCTTCTCGCAAAGAAATAGAAAATACAATAAAATGAAATAAGTTTATGTTTCTATCACCAAAGAAGAGGTGATCATAAACATCCCGTTGCTATGGTTATAAGTGAGAAGAGAGAAGTAGCAGAGAAAACAATAGTCTTAGGTTCTTTCACGTTAAAATAAAATCACTTCTTAAACCAGAAGAAAATAGAAAAATAAAGTGGTGAAAATTCATTTTCTTTTGCTTTATTTTTTTTTTCCAATCAAATGAATGAAAACTGTACTTCCAAGTCTAAAGCCAATTAGAGTAATAAATTTCGATTGAATATATGTGAATTATTGTGTCAATTACTAAACAACTTAGAGTAATGATTTACTATCCTCATTATATATATACTAGTAGGAAAATAAATTATCACTTTATATCACTATATATTTATTCTAAAGGAGTTTTAAGAGAAGATGGTTGTAAAAAAATATTAAAATTTTAAAGTTGACAATCGAAATGAGTTCTTTTTTATTTAATTTTTGCAAAGGGTAAGTAATATAAATTTAGTGGTAAAAATGTTTAATTAAAAAATGAAAAACCAACAAAATGATTACCAAACTATATCTCTTTTATAAAATATATATATATATATATATATATATATATATATTAATTATATATA